CAAGAATGTTTTGCACAAACTTGTTTGTCATGTGGCAAAAATGTAAGGCAAACATTAAATATTTTTCAACTCGAAATTCAAAATGGCTTCAAGACAATTTAAGCATCTCTTTAAATAAAGAAGATGGTAACAGAAAACTAAATAGACCCGGACGTCCAAAAATATCATTTAACTTTAAAGGGAAAAGAGCGCAGAGAAAGCAAGCAGCTGATCTTTCCAAGGCGTATAAACACAATGCACGTTTGCTAGTTCAAGCTGCCAGTATAGCTGCCCGTAAGCGCGGGCTCCTCGATATTGCTGCCGTTCTAAAGTTGCTAGCGCTCAACCCTGCTAAAGCCAAGAGCATCAGGAAGCTATTGAAGACACCGATTACGAAACCTTTGCGTTCTTCCCCAGAAGAAGCCCTGGCTTTGATTTTGGACCAAGGCTTAACTAAAAATCAGTATTGCGCATTGCGAGAGGACGCTAAGTGCAGAAGGGCGGATATCTATCCAAGATATAAAGAAGTGGCGGAGAAAAAAAAGGATTGCCGGCCACCAAATATTGAAGTTAGTGACACAGTAGCTAAAACTTCACTTCAGGACCTATTAAATCACACAGCTATTCGGATTGTGGCCTTACAGGAAGCAAGCATTGCAATGGCAATGAAAAATCAACAAACTGACTTCTTATCAGCCGAATTAATATTAAGTTATGGCTTTGACGGAAGTACGGGACAGGCCAATTATAACCAGGCATACACTGATAATCACTCACATGATACAGATTCAAGTCTATTTGCTACAACAGTTATGCCTTTACGCCTTATTGATAGCTCGGCAAACATTTTATGGAACAATCGCACTCCTCAGAGTATACGATTCTGTCGTCCATTAAAACTGGAATTCCTTAAGGAAACAAAGGAAGTTATTATAAGAGAAAGCATGAATATAAGAAAAGAAATTGACAACTTGATGTCTTGCAAAGTACTACTCAACGAGAGGCAATGCATATATGTTAAATTTAGTCTTTACTTAACCGTTATCGATGGCAAAGTGCTTAATGCTTTAACAGGAGCAAAATCATTTCAAGCTTGTCCTATTTGCAGTGCGACACCCAAAGATTTTCTGGGTAACAAGAACTTTAAGTGCCTCAAATTTCTTCCTATTTTAGATAACTTAAAACATGGAGTCAGCCCACTACATTGCTGGATCAGATTTTTTGAATTTTTGCTGCATGCCGGATATAAAACAGGTATACAAAAGTGGAGAATTTCAAACCCGGTCGAAAAAAGTCTTGTCTCCGAGAGAAAAAAAAGTATTCAACGTATGTTTTGGGAAAAACTTTCATTAAAAGTTGACCAGCCAAAAAAATCAGGATTTGGGAACACAAACGTGGGAAATACCGCGCGACGAGCATTCAATAGCTATAAAATATTTTCTGAAATAATTGGCATTGATGAAGAGCTCATATTTAACATGAGGACAATATTAATATGCCTGTCATGTCAACTGCCCATAAACCTGGAAAAATATTAAAAATTGTGTCAAAAGACGGGAGAATTAATTATAGACAAATATCCTTGGCTTGCAATGACAGCGACAGTTCATAAAATTTTGGTGCACTCAACAGAAATACTGCAAAATACAGTACTTCCAGTCGGTTATTTTGGTGAAGAGGCGGCTGAATCGCGAAATAAAATTTATAAATCAGACAGACTACACCATGCAAGGAAGAATAGCCGGTTATGCAACTTCACTGACGTGTTCCATAGAGCATTGGATACGTCAGACCCCATAATTTCGTCAGTAAACTTAAAGAGGCGCATACGAAAACATAGGCGCATTTCTCTTCCAACTGAAGTCATAGAACTGCTATCCTGCGAATTTGACGAATTGGATGAATCTTTGGATGATTGCATTGATGAATTAGATGAAACTTTGATTGATTGTTATGTAGACGAAGAAATCAATGATTTTTTGTTCAATATAGAACTTGATAATGAGGAAAATATTGAGTAATATATACATATATATACATATTTATACGTTATTATTAAAATATAAAAAATATCTATATTTGGTATAAAAAATTGTACTTTATGCTCAAAAAAAAAATGGTGGCGGGGGGTAGTGACACGCCCACTTTTCAAAATATTTCTAAGAGTGTTTTTAATACTAGAAAAAAAACCCCAGCAAAATATGTTTTCATTTTAAGGAGTTATTAATTAAAGCCAACAAAACGATAGCATACAAATTTGGTACACCCTAAAAGGGGCGGTGCCACGCCTCCATTTTTTTACAGTTAAATCTTATCAATAACACGAACTAAATACCGAAAACCAAATCAAAAAATCTCTTTTCGTTCTCAAGTTATTAATTAATGCCAACGAAACGAGTCAAATGCCCCATAGTGCATTAGAGCCATTAGCCAGATTTTTATTGCCATTCTTTTGGCATTTTGGCACACACTCGGCAAGGAGCGAGGTGGGCGGCGAGGATGGAGGATAACAACGCCAGTTCGGGCATTGTGCTGGCGATTATTTATTGCATAATCAATAAACTGCAAACGCTACAGTTGCAGTTACATAAACAAAGCTACCAGAAACAACTGGCCACCGAGAGAGTTAGCCCCAATATGGTAATAAAAGCGAGCTGGGCCTCGGCGACTTGCGACTCGCGACTCGACGGGGCTCCGGCTCAAATATCGGTTAGCGGCACATGTCCTACAAACCGACTGAGGAAAAACGTGATAAATCCGTGGCCCACTTTGCTAACCCAGTCTGAAATTGCAGCGGCTTCAATGGAGCCGAAAATGCAAATTGAAACCCAATCTTTGTGGCCGATGCAACAAGCAGGCAGCCGCAAAAGGCAAAAGGAGTGCAAAAAGCCAAGCCGCAGCCGAGACCAAAAAACCAGACCCCTCGCGGGTGCTAATAAAAAGCAATGCCCACACCGCAAAATAAACGCTACGAAATGGCCAAGAGTGCACCAGAGCCGGAGCCAGAGTCAGGCTGGAGTTTGGAGCTGAGGCTCGTGGAAAGCAAAGTGATGGTGTGGAAAATGTAATAAACATGTTCAACTGTCCCCTGCCCCCTCTCAGGCTGTCTCTCTGTGGGCGAGACACTTTGAATATGCAATTATGAATGCAAGGCGATGTTTACCTCATTTGAAAATTAGATAAGACATTTATGGGCAATGCAGAAACGACTTGATTTGTCTCTTCGCCCTCCGTGTCTGCCATTTCCATATTTGATTTAAACGCGAAACGAAAGTGGATTTGTCTTATGAATAGATTGCCAAAAGTGGCTAATGATTACTACGATTTATGGAAAAGTTTGGCTGTACAGTATCTGAATCCTGTAGTGTTTGGTACTGTTAAAAGTCTTGAATGCTGACAATCTAGCAATCATGTTTTACTTTCGAAATTATCTGAATAATTTACTATGAACCTCAAAGATCGTAGCTCGGAAGGTTGGTCTATCTATCATTAAAGATGTAAAATTTAGTCAAAGTATAAATTATTCTATTAAATTCTTTTATATACGAAGTTTGTACTTGTCTTTCTGTCTCTTGATCATTGTTATTAACGAAGTGGTCTTGGAAATTATATATTCCAGGAAGCTATTGGTTAATAATTGTGGTTCAAATTGTGGTTGTTGGTAAAGAATTGTGGCCTATAATTATTGTAAACGCTTTACGATGAGTTACTGAGATGGTGTTCACTTTAAAAATTAATGCAACGCAAGGATTTCATTGAATCCCCAGTATTAAGTTAAAAACTATTATAATTTTCTACATAATTCTTTTAATAGGTATTTGATATTTAAGGTGTAGAAATAAAGTAGAGGAATAATAAAATTCAATTGAGTTTTCGTTTTGATCACTTGTTTTTTTTTATTTATTTGATTGTGTATCATTAATCAGCTTCATTTTGTATGAGATTTTGTTTTTTTGTTAGATTTTATACAGAGTCAGAAAATATTTGGTAAATTAAGTACTTTTTATAAATCCGTTTCGTTTGCTTCTAAGAACAAGCAAAATTACATAGACATATTACAAACTAGGTAGCGGAGAACATTACAAAAACTAATACAATACGTTCGTTTACAAACTGACTTAAATAGGGGTCTCCTATCTATCGAATATCGAATATCGCACGAGCTTAAACGCTATCAGAAGTCTTATCACACGCTCACAACGCTGGGACGCTGCACACAACTGGATCGATCGGTTTTGGTTATATCCGATTGATCTCACTTGGGAACCGGACCGGGTGCACGAGTCGGGCGGACCAGAGCAGAAGAGGGAGGGGCCGCGGCTGGAGGACAAAACAGCGGCGGCAACCACGTCGATGATGCACCCAGGCGGTGTCGAATCCGTCGTCCAACAATCCACATCGTCGTCGCAGCACAACAAGCCTGGGATCCTGGGATCTTGCAACTGTGTGTGTGTCCGATCGAGTGTCTTGGAGGGGAGGGAGTGGGCTGGTGTTCATTCCTAGATCTTGATCTTGTTCTAGTTACAGTTCCTGTTATCGTTATCGTTGTGTGGCCTGTGCGGCCCAAATGTGTTGCTTTGAAGGTCTAAATCTAAAGTTCCTTTACATTTCACTCGTTCACATTGCTCACGGGTCTTGTCAACGTTTCAGGGTTTCCTTTGCTTTTTGTTTTTTTTTTGTGTCTTATGGCTTACGGCTAGAAGAGAGTTCGGTCTAAAAGCTAAGTGTTCGTCTCGTATCTCGTCTGGTTCTCTGAATCTCTGTCGTTTATCACGTTCTGCATAGCAAAGTATGTTCCGGGGACGGTATGAAATGGAGTGATCGGAGTTGGGGAATGGTCTATGGTCTATGGTCTGTGATCTATGGTATATGGTTTATGATTGTGGCTTTGGGTTTCGGTTGTTTTGGGAAATATATAGGGGAAATGGAAGAGTTTAGCTAGCCATCCCGTTCATTCTCAATGCTGCAAAGAAAAGCGAAAGAGGCGGAAAAGAGAGAAAGAGAGAATTCATTTCACCAGTTTAGTAGCCGTGATATGAATGATAATCATGAGAGGCAAAATCATGCTCCACCTCGTGCTCATGCTCCACAATGGGGTGCGAGTGATGATGATGGATGGGGGCGTGATGGTGGTCCTCCTCGATGTGCTTGTGGACGAACTCCGGCTCCTTGTAGCTGACGTGCTTCTCGTGGATCTCTGGGACGTGCTTCTCGATGTGAACATGGACGGGCTTCTCCACGGGGATCTTGACCGGGTACGGAACGTGTTTCTCCACCTTCACGGGCACCTCCTTAATGACGGGATAGGGGCGGGCACATGGACCTTGACCTCATAGGGCACTGGCTTCTCGACATGCACGGGCACGGGGCGATCATAAGGAACATGGACGGGCACCGGCACCTTCTTGATCACGGGCACGGGCACTGGCTTGTCCACGTAGTGAGGAACCGGCTTGTCAATGTAGTGGGGCACTGGCTTCTCGACGGGCACCTTGACGGGGTAGTGGACCACCTTCTCCACGGGATAGGGCTTGTCGACATGCACGTGCTTCTCCACGTTGTAGTGGACAACCTTCTCCACGGGGTAGGGTGCGGGCACATGGACCTTCACGGGCACATGGACCTTCTTTTCAACTGGATAAGGAGCGGGCACATGGACCTGCAACAAGTAAGTCAAGAAGTTAAGACCCTATTCGGCTGGGTTATGTCACTTCCAAACCCACCTTCACGGGCACGGGGCGATCGTAGTGCACATGCACGGGGTAGTGAACCTTCTTTTCGACGGGATACGGAGCTGGCACCTCGTACGGAACCTTCACAATCTCCTTAACCTCATAGGGGATGTGCTTGACGACCGGGTACGGCTTGGGCACTTTGACCTTAACGGGCACATGGACATGCTTCTCCACCGGCACATGCACGATCTTCTCGATGGGTACGGGCACTGGGACCTTCTTGATGACGGTCAGTGTCTTCTCCTCATGCACCGGGAAGTGGGGCACGTGATGGTGGTGATAGTCCTCGTAGTGATGCAGTCCGCGCTTCGACTTGGTGGTGTCCTCACTGGCCGCTGGCTCCGCGGGCTTGGCCTCGGGCTCAGCCTTCTTCTCCTCGACGGCGGCCTTCTCGGCCTCCGCCTGGACGTAGCTGCTGGCCAGGAGTACAACCAGGGCCAGCGATGTCGCTGTGCGCTGTAAATTAAAGAAAGGATTATTAGTTGTGGGGTTAGCTTAATATCTTGGCTTAGAATAGATTTTTAAGATATAAGGAAATTTGGTTAGAAAAGTTGCAGATTTGAAATCGGAATTGATCTTGGAGATTTTTTAGCAATTAAATTTAATCCAATATATTGTAATAATAAATATTGAATTTGTTTTTGTTTGTTAAAACAATTGTTATTGATTCTATTCTTCTTCTGAGTTTTGACAAATGTATCTAATACTTTACATCACTGTAACTAAGATCAGATCTAATGATCTTTTAAAATTTTTAAGTTCAAATTGATCACATTTTTTCCCAAACTGGGATATTCTCGAGTTCCTTGTTCACTTCACTTTGTTGTCCTGGCCTCGGATACGTACCATCAACTTCATGCTGCTGCGTTAATCCTTCGATGGACGGGAATGGAAATCCGTTTCCCCTGGTCGTGAGTCAGCTGTGGCAGAACTGAGCCCGTTTGGTCGAGGGATTACTATTGATCACTGGTAACACGTTCCGTACACACTGGGCTGTAGACTGTTCGACGGTTAACGGTTTAATGATGCCAACTGCAGCGCCTGCGCGCACTTTTATAGTTCCACGCCGAATGAATGGATGCACGAAGCGAATGCGCGGCCATCAAGCCGAAGACCAGGTCGGATCGGATCGGATCGGATCGGATTGGATCGACGGCAGTAATAACAATCGCAATAGTCCAAAACACATGCGGCGCAGCGAATGGTGAGCGGTGTGCTTTTCGTGAGCTTCCCGCTTGCCACCTCCCCGCCTTCGGTGGTCCACTGGCTCCGCTTGGTTTTCGGAGGCGCGAAGTCGACGCAGCCAAGCGCCAAATGCAGCGCCACCATCAGCGCAGAAAAAAAAAGGAAAAAGAAAAGAAAGAACGATAGTCGCACCACAAAGACCAATCTCTGTACACCCTTTGATGTCTTACAGAATCTTTTTAGCGACAAAGTGATATTAAAAGAATAATAGGAAAATATTTAATGCCTTAAGTGAAGGTCTAAAGACTTTTTCTTGTTTAAAATGTCAAGTTTTTATAAAAATCAATCTTGAAAAATAAACGCCATAACTTAATGCCTATATTTAGCTGTACAAAACATTTGAAATCATGGGTTTAGAAGCTTGAAGCACACTTTAAGCTTATCCAAATAACCAATAACACCTATTTCTAATTTTATTATTACAAACATTAATATACCTTTGAAAGTTAAAACTTGTTGTTTTGTGTAATAAGATAAAACTTTTATTTTATGATTTCTATTGTACGAATTAAAACTGTTACTATCCCTTTTTAAAACTATATAGCAAAATAACTAAAATTAGTAATAGTATAATAGTTATAATATTATTAATTCCATTGTTATTATTTCATTATACAATTCAGGTCACTTTTAGTGGCAGTAAGCCTTAGTACTGCCTAAAGTTCCCCTTAATCATTGTTTTTATTAACAATTAACAGTATTTATTGAGTCGTAACAACTATGCATTTAAATGGGCGCTGCAAAAGACTCGTAAAAGTCGTAAAACTCTCCCTGGAATGGGGTATTAAAGCAGAAGTAAGATTGCAATATCAAGAGGAGACTCCGCGAATGGCCGGGGCCCGGTGGTGGCTCTATGGATGCGTGCCATTTTGCTGTTTAATTCGACTACCGTCAGCTGCCGCTTTTCGCTTCTTGTTGCCGCTGCAAGTCAGTCAGTGCACGTAAAAGGCTTGAGAAACCACAGCGGCAACATCAGCAGCAGCGGCACCACAACTTGGGGCTGGTAATTGAATAATACCCAAATGGATGAGCCGCCTTCGGGCCACTTCAAGTGATGAGCTGTTTGCTTTGTTGCCAGTCTTCATTTCAATGTTACTTTTATGGTAATTGCAAATGATTATGTACTTGTTTCTGGGCTGCTTTTATTGTTTATCTATTTGGTGATTGAGAGATTGTCCTGCGCTGCGATTGTTTTGATTGATTGATTACCATTACGAAGTGGGGAATTTAGAGGGGAACTTTCAAAAGAACAAACCAAAGCATAACTTGGACATAAGTCATTTAGTTTTTAGTTTAAAATGTATTTGTTCTTAGCACCAGCTTAAACTACCTCGCTTATTCCCTTACTGTTCAACACCCACTCTTTTGCTTAAATCCCTTTTCGGACAGCATTATCTCTTGCTCAACAGACAAGTGACTATATCCTTTTTCCATTCCCCTTTTGCATTATGTCATTCTGTCACTCAACCGCGATCCCAGACAGGTCCAACTGAGGCAGGAGAGTGTGTCAGTCGGTCATTCGGTTGTGTCACTGCTCCACATACGCAGTGGTCGGTCACCAACCATAACCTAAGACAAAGGCAATTGCTGTTGGGCCACTCCACTCCAATCCACTCGCTCACTTCCACTCCGATTGCTGGGTAATTAATACCACCACCAGCTCCATCGCCAGTAGCACCACCAGCCCAAGTGGTATCAGGCCGAGGCGGGCTCTGGTCTGAGTCCGATTACCTTCCTCGTTATTATGTCAATGGGTCTTCAGTCAGCTGTGGTTTGGCACACATATCAAGTATACTTTATTTGTACATATAAATAAAAATAAATCACACTTATAGTCGGGATACAAGTTTAAGGTGCGTATCATATCTGCAATTACCACATAACTAACAAAGTACCCACTCTCTCAAGCATTTCATAAGCTAAACTCCTTTGAAAGGAGGTACTTTGTTGAATAAATTAATACTTATTGGAGAGCTATTTATAAAATGCTAATAAATTCAATGGAATTCAGTTGGTACCATTAATTTATGGTAATAAGTTAAGGAAATTATCTTCTTAGGTTGGTAATTGTTTTAAAAGACTAAAACGTTTTTTCATAATTCAATATTTCTAATCGATTCCAGGGACCTTTACAAACATGTCCGGCACCTTATAATCCAAGACTCGTTACGATAGCAAATATTTTCTCGCTTTCGTTGCATGCATGCAACTTTCGATTTCGTTTCAATTCGCGTTTGTTGCATGTCTTGACCACATTGTTCGATTCACATTTTCCACAACCGACGGAAAGCGAGGTCTTCTGGCCTTCTGCTGAGGAAAGAGGGGGCGCCACTGCGGAGGCTGCCATTAGACGCTCCCGCTCAGCTCCAGCTCCGGCTCCGTCTGGCGGGGATTATGTCATATGTTGGCTTGCTGCTGGAGAGCACGCCTACCGCCGGAGAGATGGTTTCGAGTACATTGTCTTTGCCTCATCATAATCGTAAGATGAAGTGCAATTTACTTCCTCGACTTAATTACCATATGAGCCATATATGCATACATGTATCTATGTGCATATGTGGTTGGGTCTCCCGCCTCCCATTGTGGCCATTGTGGCTCGACGCCTTTGAAAATCATCATTCGATTGAGGCTTAGCCCCTCTGTGGCGATATTCAGGCTGCAGCTCGTTTGTTCGCATTGTCTGCGCCCTGACCTTGCCGCATTTGGCGATAAAGTAAGCTTTACATAAATCCATTCATCTCCCGGGGCTGCGGGGCGGCTTTATTTGTCAACAAAGGTGTCAAAGTTGAACCAGCGTCCGATTGATCACCCATAGAAGCCACTGACTTCGATTTCCATTCGCTGCCTGATTTGTTTAACAATTAATTGTCTTCTTCGCTCGGGCATTCCACTTCCATCCATTCCGATACCAATTGGTCGCCAATTGTGGTGTCTTAAATCTTGGACGAGTTCCAACAATATATAGAGCTGTTAGCCATGTAGGCGAAGCTGACAGTTATGACATTTTATGCGACCGCTTACAAAAGCCTCATTCAGGCCCCTTGTCACCCTTTTAGCTGGTTTCTGGTGGCTGGTGGCTCTTGTCTCGGTTGTGGTCGCCACCTGCCAAGGCGTATAACTGTTTTGGGGCTTCGAATCGTTCACCGTTTCGCGTCTTGTTTACCGCCATTTCGGATGGGGCACATCCACCACCAACCGCAGGGTTCAATGCATTGCTGGTCAAGGTCGTTGCTTGGGCTTGTTACCCAGCTGACTGAAAAGTTGGCTCGATTGCGGCGGTAATTTGCTTGTGATAATGTCGCATAGAAACGATTACAACAGTTTCAACAACACACCATGGCTTTGTCACCAACAGTGGGTTAGCAAGTTTTAGATTTAAAAAGACAAACGAAGAAAGCCTTCGAATTATTTACTCTGGGCTTACTATACAGATTACTTTAAGTAAAGTGAAAACACGTTAAACTATAAAATATATTTGATTTGTATTTAGAACTTGTAAAACAAAGGGCACGTTATTATAACCATTTATATCTGTGTGAAATCAGAAAGTAAATCTCCTTGATCTTCAGTTCGATTGGCAGGGAAACCCCCAAAAGTCAAGGCCAATGCACAGCTTCGCTTCCCAAAACAAGCACAGCTTTTAATATCGGCATGATCTGTTATTTATTTGGGTTATAGCCCATTCCGATGAACTTGCCATACTGCAATCACTTCCCTCCCAATCAGTTGGTGGCGATCAGCTCTCGATTTCCACACAATGATCGCTGCAATTAGAGCTCAATCAGGGTTTACAATCTCAGGTTAACGCATCTCTGAACCGATCGGATCCAAAGTAACAGTCAGAAATGGGGTCAATGGCAAAAGCATTTGAACTCTTGGCTCTTGTTTGTGGCGTGGTGTTTATGTCTTCTTTCATTTTTCGGGGGGTAAGTCTGCTGGTTGGGCCTTTATTGCCCGATTCGGTCACATTGTCACGCGCCGTCGATCGCTTTGGCTTCGCTCAATTAAGGCTAAGAAAAACACAAATATCCAAATCTCTTACTCATGTACAGTTAACCATGACGTTCACTTAATCAGGTTTGCGGCTTGGAGTCTCTATCCCCTTTGGGGATATTGTGGCAGCATAAAGCTAAACTGATTAATAAGGAAGTGGAGGCGACGCTGAGCCTGCGACCCACCTGCGAATTTATGCACATTTACCGGCCGAGAAAGCCTGAAAGACCAGTCGGAGGAAAACCATTTATTAGCATAATAATTCCGCCTTGGGCCAGCCAGCCAGCCAGCCAGCGTTTGTGGCGGACAGCTGTTGACCCATTGACTTAGTCAACAAATTTCGCATTGCCTGCGAACGGATTGCGAAACATTGTGAGGAAAATCCGCTGGCTGTCGTCACTTCTTCGGCAGAAAATATTTTAAATATAGACTTTAATTTTTATTTCAGACTCGGCTACAGTTCCCCTCTGTTTTTGCGGCCATAATTACAACAACACCCAGCGACCAAAGCGAAGTTGGCAATCAAATGCCGAGCTCTTGTTTTTGGTGGAAATTGCGTAAATTGAATAAACATTATGCTATATAGCTGTGGCCCAGGGTAGTAGGTAGACATTCAAGCTGCCTCGCTTCTCGTCGGCATTTTCGTTTTACATTTGGTAAATCTGTTTTTGGCAGCTCTTTGCTTCCCTGCCTTCTGATCCGCACTGAGGCAAAGCCGCCATTAGTTTATGCCAGTGTACATGGGGAGCTCCGAGAGGTGTCCAAGAAGTTCGATTGAGTGTTAGAAATAATAACTTAATTATGAGGTTTTTAGGGGTGAAACTTTGAAAGATAAAGAACGGACAAGTAAAAAGTTTGATAAAGTCAAATACAGATTAGCCTTTAGCAGTCAGACTCTACAATCTAAATTATCATCCCAAATGAAACGTTAATAATAGTATCATAAATAAAAAATAAATTCTAATTTTTGTATTTATTTGCCTATATTTCTTAATATTTTGTTTCCGTTAACTAAATAAGAGATCGTAATTAGCTCTTATAAACAAAATACAAGATCTATTTCAGTATTATAGTTTTAAAGAAAAACTCAACTTCAACTTTTATGTATACTTCCTACTACAACTTCTCTTGCACACCTCGGTGAGCCTAAAAATATAGAGCGGAGCGTAATTAGGCAGCACTTAAATGACTGTAAATGAACAAAAATACAGCAATAAAACAAAAATACGACTATTGAGCAATGGTCTGTGGCGCATAAAACACTAAAAAGCGTGGAACATGTGCACCGAAGAGCCTTACAGATATATGTATATAATATTTGGCAAATTAGGCAAAAAATATACATATATTTGAAAAAAATTAGCAACGATAATTACCGCATCAATCAAGATGTACTTAAGGCTTTCCTATATTTTCCAAACATGCAAAAGCGCACTAAAAGCTGCAACTGTATAGGGAAAACCACTTCCGAACAAGAAAATGTGATGCATAGGAAAAATGAATACTGAACGCCTTGCAAGTTATAGATAAAATAAAATATTATTTACTTTACTAGACCATACTCTGGCATAATGATCTTCATTTATTTAGATTACAGCAGTTGGCAGACTTCAAGATACCAGTATTATTAAATAATAAGTATTTTTTTTGCGTTTCAGTAGTATAAATAATGCAAAGTATCCTTAATTTAAACCAGTCAGATCTTTATGGACCCTCTAAAAAACCATCTAACAGATGCTTTCTAATTCTTTCTAAAAGCGAAAAGAAAGACGTGCATGAAACATACCAATTAGTAAGTTTAATTCTTAATTTAGCACTAGTTTTGATATATTGGCTTCCATTTCTCCAGTCTCATTGCTGTTAACTCATTTGCAAATTGCCACAGATCAAATAATCCACGAGATGCACGATAAATGTCAAAAAATTACCCACACAGGTTTCCATCTACTTTTTGACTCTCTGCATTTTTCTGGCTGTTACTCATTTGGCTTTTTGTTGGATTGTCGAAATGTTGCAACACATTCGAGTTTGGAAAATTTCTTTGCAACCGAAAAGTTGCGCGCAAAAGAAATTTCAAGTCAATTACCGTTAGGCGGTTTGCATGGCGCCATGATGCAATCGCGCCACATGTGCCTGCCACACACACACACACACACACGGGCAGCACAACAAAGCTGAGACAACTACAACAATAATGTGAGGCAGGTCGACGACGTCATCAGCATATCGCTAATTGATTGCGTCTGAATTGGTTGTGTCTGCATTAGTTGCTGGTGTTGCATTCACTTTGCCGCTTTTTTGGGTCGTGCCATTCTCCTCCATTGCCACACACACGCTCGGAGCCGAGGCGAGCTTGCCGCCGAGTTGCGGCGGCGTTTCTCGGGTTAGGACAAGATCAATGTTGCTGCCGTTGGTCAATTCAGGCAACAGGTTCTCCCAAAACGAAAGACTCAAGCAGCGAACTTGAAACGCGTATCAGCTCTTTCTGGACTGCCCGTCATCGGGGTTGATTGCCCCGATAATTGCCCGCCGCTCTCGAGCAGTAGTAATATAGTTTAATAATTGTTGCATCATTTCTCACCGACTCACTTTTCATTTCGCTTTTCGCAAATTACCTGCTTTTTGCTTAAGTGCTTCAGAGATAATGTGGGGAATGAGTGCAGTGAGTGTATCCATAGATTCCATAGATTTCTCCGTAGTACGACTGAGACCATCGTAATTAAAATTAGAAGATTTAAGGGAATTTCATTGGTGTGTCACATACCATTCTTTTGAAAATTAAGTGATACAGGTAAACAATTTTGTAATAATTGCAAAAATTATTGATTTTATCACTTTAAATGGAAATATTTTATTAGTCACTAAATATTAGCCAATATTAGCGATTTCTATCCATTCTATATTTATTTGATAACAAACCTATTAATATTACAATACATTAAAAAGTATTAGTCTGTTGTCATCAAATTGCATACAAAGAATGTTTAGGCGGTCACATGGTACTAAATTTTAATATAGAATACAATTCTTATGTATAGACAGCTTAGTATTATTTTTTCAATTTAGATTTTGACATCATGTTTATTGGTTAGATTTGTGTCATTATAATTTTACTAATTGTGTTATTTGGTGTCCTTTATTTAAAAGTTTTGTTTGATGTTTGACCAATAAGTTTCACTTTACATTTCTCGTCTTTAAGAGCAAATGCAACAAAGAAATGCAAACCTTTTATGGGACTCCCCTTCATATTTAAATGATAATCTACAATGATGCAATAAGCTTCTCCTTCTCTTAAAATAAACAAAAGGCTTTGTTCTTAATCAGGCCAAGTGAGCTCAGTGAGCTTCGTATACGTTTATCATCAGAAACCACGAACTGATGTATTAAGCATTTCGCACAATTGTGAAATTTATACATAGATAAGAGAGGTACATATATATAGAAATGATTTCATTCTTGCTTTTCTTTAATATTTTGTATATATCATAATATGGATACTTTATTAGAAATCGATATTATCTTGCTTATCAAACAACACTAGTCTATATTAAAGCTTTTTGCATTTCTGCATTAAAAATGACCCGTTCGAATTCAATAATACCTATTTTTTGTTTGCGATTTTTAATAAAGCATACAGGAGATCCAATAATAATGAGAATGCCAACTGCCAATAATGCATACAATATATATGGTAAATAGCCTCCGTCATTTTCTTGGGTTGAACCGTGTGAAAGCTGATCCATTACGGAAGTAAAGCCAGGTAGTTCCGTATAAGTCTGGGATTCTTCAGTTGTTGACTGTGTTGTCGTCTGAAGCTGCACACAGTCTCCGTCGTCTGATTTTATATAGCCAGGACAACAAACCAATTTTTCTTCCAGTCTGGTTTTGGTCTTTGAATTTCCACGTTTTCAGATTATTCTCAAATCACTTATTTGCAGCACTTACCACTATTTTATTTCCTCCTGGTATTCCCAATTCTTTGAAATATTTTTCAAAGATCCCGAATTCCTCCAGTTTTTTTGGAACTTCTTCCGTATAGGTAACAGCAACAGTATGGGAACACATATGCCGATCGTCCGTTCCGTTGCAATTGGAGATATTCAGGATTGAAAGGCTGAGCACAATTATTATTAGAACCCTTGACATTTTTGCAGCTTCCATGCGCTCAGGCGAATAAAATAAAACTGAGTTATTTACTAAGTGTAAAGTGTTCTCGTCTCCTCGATAAGGGTCAGCAGAACCGCACAGTGGTCACATCCGGAAGCTAGAAATTTCAGAAAGCACTATTTTGTTTTTCGTCAAATGGGATTTCGAAAAATAGCTAAAGCTAACTTCTACACGCCAAAGTTTATATATACTTGCAGATTGCAATTTGATTATTAATAATTACTGCAGTAAAATTATGCCTTCTTGCATTACCTTCACATTACATTTAAAGTTTAACAGTTACAGATTTACATTTAAATTCTTATATTTTCCTCTATATATTCAAAGATCTTTTCTATGGTAGCTAAATAATATTATTATGACTTTATGTCATCCGAAATTTTAGAATAGAACATTTATTTCAAATTAGATGAAAAGATTTTGAAAACAGGTAAAGTTATAATTTTTTCTAAATATTTCCCAATCATTCTTATGGCAGCTATATAATATAGTGGGACGATCTAGCCCATTCCTAACTTACATAGAAGACTAACTTTGCAGTTTGCAGCAAAGTTTCATTCAGATAGCATTAAAACTGAGAGACAGACGGACAGAACAACATGGTTAGATTGACTCGGCTATTGATGCTGATCAAGAATATATAAACTTTATAGGATCGGAAATAAATCCTTCTTTGCGTTACAAACTTTTGACTGAAATTATATCAAAAGTTATTTAATTATTTGGTATTAGGTTTTAAACTTGAAAAGCAGAATGTGACATCTCCTTATTGATAAGCTATGTATACACATTCTTTATCGGCATCACCAGGCAAGTAGATCTTGACAAGTGCGCATCTGTACTTATCTATTACTCTGCATGCAGATTAAGTTTGTTTCAGATAAATCATGAAAAGTAATACGAATATTTGAACAGCCAAATCGGATCAAAATTCTGAAAAGAAAATTTAATTGAAATTAAGAGGGAACCAAAAGCTAATGCTAAAAATAAAGCTAGAACTCTACAAATATATATCAAATACAAATAATATATCAAATTGTCCTTACATTAGGAATCTGTTATATTTATGTTAAATTAAAAATTTAAATTATATTTTACCAATTTATATTTTAATATTTAAAAATAAATACTATTTTTTTTTTCAAAATTGAATTATCTACATACCATAAAAATATTCGGTAGCTCTGTATGAGAAGATAAAAATATCAGTTCAAATTCAGGGTCCTTATTCATTGATTTTATTTGTTCAGCTAAGCAATGTTTTTTCAACATTTAAAATTACCGTATTTATATTTATTACAAGAAAATTAAGCTTAATTTTAAAAAATGATTTATTTAAATAGATTTAGCACAGTGTGCATGATGAATGACTAATGTAGAGAAATTTGATTAGTCAGTATTCGCTCACACCCCTTAGCCCGGTACAAAGGTTAGTGGTGTCCAGCGAAAGCCTCTTAAGAGGTGTAAAAATAGATTTTCGATAAACTTGTAATTATTTTGGTGATAATCATAGGAGTTGGTGTAAACATAATGACTTGATAAATTATCACGGATTTATCAGAATTAGTGTGGCTAATTCATATTTATTTTTCTCAAAATTATAGCTACTTCAAGTGAGTGATCTTAGTTTTCTTATATCATTTTCAGCAACCTCAGATTAACCACATCTTTATATTCTATTTGACCCATAAACAAAATTAAGTTTCATACCATCTTTTCTCAAAGGAAATATTTCTGCTCCTTTAAATTCTTCTTTTCCTAACCTCTGGCGAGTTTCCTAAGTGGATCCATTAGAAAATGTTATCGAAATTGTGTTTCTAACCATTCAGAAAAAATTAACATGGTTTTGAGTTTTCAATTTTGCTGATGTGTAACTAAATAACACTGTACTTTTAAATGCAAACTTTGCAACTTCAAAACCCCCTTCAATGTACGCCTCTTTGAAAAAAATATAAGCTTAGGTATCTAAAAAAGAGTAGCTTTATTTTAAAGTTGCTTTTAATTTAAAAGTAAAAAAGCTTGAGATACTTTCGGTAACTTTGCATACTTTCAGGTTTCCAAATTTAATCTCAAAAGAATCCAGTAAAAGATAAAAAAATTTCTAAAGCATAAACTTAAATGAAATAATTATATTTAATGTAGAATTTGGGTGATAAAATAAATACATTTAGACTTACCATATTGCTTGCAAAAACAAAACGCTATAAAGTTGAATTCGTAGTTGCTAAATTTGTTTAAAATAATAGTTTTAGAGTTCAAATCCAATATATACTCTTATAGTTCGTTTCATAGTTTTTCTGGTTTGAAGGATGTATAGGATATTAATTATTTTGAATTAAAACGCTCTCTACATAAATTTTAAGCTTAAATGGTTGCATACTTTTATGCTTTGTTTATTATGTATAAACTAATACTTTATAACTTTAAAATTATAATTAAAGAACAATCTAGAGACCGCGGCTATTACCAAAGTGCTTAATGGATATGTCATATAGAAACTAGTTGCTCTATACAAACCGACAGAAAGACTAAATTCTTAAGAATGTTCATTTTGCAGTTATTAGAATTATAATGTGCTTTGCAAATGTAAACGAAACATACAATAGATAAACGAGTTCAAGCTGGAAAATAATTAACTGTCGGTATAGTGATTATAATTTTTTTTATCCTTGATGAGTTTCATAAAAATAAACACTTTATTAAGCGGTTTTCTGAGACTCTTAAACTTAAAATAAATGTTCCCTTGAACAATCTATTGGGGGCGAGACCAACACTTTGTTGTTGTTGTTTTTTTTTTAATTTTCTTTTTATTTACATTATTTAAATATGTACAAACATTTCATAGAAAAGAAATTTACACGAAAAAGTCGAAGGAGCAACTCGTCAGCAGTATTTCTCGGTGATTGTCTACAAAAGCACTGTACACTCAGAGGCATCGGATGAGAGGGGGACAGGCAACATCTGAGCGCCCCAGAGGGATTGTGGCAAGCTTTCTGGGACTGGGACTGGAACTGGAACTGTTTCTGTTTCTGTTTGCGCCAGATGAGTGGTCTTCTCCCGCTCGGGATCCTCTTGCAATTTCGGTTGGTATCACAAACTAAGAACTAAATTTGTAAGTCGTACGTTGGCGGTTGCTGGGCATGGGAAAATGTGGGGTGCTTTTTGGGATGTCTTTTTGGATACTTCCGACTTGTTGATTCGCCCGTCTTCACCCGGCTTCACCTCTCAATTGGCCCTCGACAGCTTTGCGTTTCGTTTACTTTTTGTGGAGGTAGCCACCGTGGCCGGAGACGCCATAGGAGGAGATGCCGTGTCCGGAGACTCCGTACGAGGAGATTCCGTGGCCGGAGATGCCGTGACCGGAGATGCCGTGGCCGGAGATGCCGTGGCTGATGTAGGCCGGAGCGGCGGCAACGGTGTGGGTGACGGCCACGGCGGGCTTCACGTGGCTCTCAACATGGACGGGCACGGGCACGGCCACCTTGTAGGGCACTGGGCGGTCCACATGGAAGGGCACCTTGTGGATCACGCGCTTCTCAACGGTGTAGGGCACGGGCTTCTCGACCGGCACGGGGTAGGGCTTCTCAACGTGCACGGGGTAGGGACGGTCGACTGGGATCTTGACGGGGATGCGGATGACCTTCTCGACGGGGTAGGGCTGGGGCACCTCAACGGGCACCTTCACGATCTCCTTGACGGGCACATGGACGATCTTCTCCACGGGGTAGGGCTGTGGCACGGGCACCTTCACGGGATAGGTGACGGTCTTCTCCACTGGGTAGGGCACGTGGCGCTCCACCTGGTAGGGAACCTGCACGGTCTTGATCACTGTGTTGGTGTGCACCTGGGTGGGCAGCTCGGCGACGGCGTGGTGGGCAATGGGGGCGGCAATGGCAACGGGGGCATGTGCCACTCCGATACCGGATCCCAGGATGGCACCACCGGCGGACGGTCCGTAGCCGTAGCCCAGGCCGTGACCGATGCCGCGCTTCTCCTGCTTCTTCTCGGCGGGCTCAGCGGCCTCCACTGGCTTCTTGGGCGCCTCCTCGCTGGCGCTGGCCACCAGCACGCACATCGCCACAAGGCCGAAAATGAGCTGCAATGGCAAGCGCACGAATTGGGAGTGAGACCTAATTGGGGTTGGGGATCCGGGGGGTGGGGTGGAGGGTGTGGTGCATTGTTACGCAATTGACGCGCTTCCGCGTTTGCCTCCCGCCAGTCCATAATTTCGAATATGACAATTATGCAATGGCTGGAAAGCTGGACAGTTTCGTGGGCAATCAGCCAAGTTCAATTGTGGCCTAGATCCCTAACATATTGCCATCGCGGCGTATACGTAATGTGGAGTGAAACATATTTGCAACCCTTTCTATGTGATCGGAATTTATTGATACGTGTGTGCATGAAATTGATCAGCTTAAAGCTTTCAGTGACTTTAAATAATTATTCAAGCCATTTGGATATCAAAACTTCACTAAAAATTAAATAGTTAAATTTAAGTGGTTTAGATGCCAAATGTTTTCGAAATATATCTTTTGGAAACTCTATATATCATAGATTTCAAAACTTCATTCAAAATGTATATAGTTAAGGTAAAGCGGCTAGGTTAAATATTAAATGATTTCTATATTTACTTTAAATTTTATTTATTTATTACGTGGACTTTATGAAAGACTCAATACTTTCAAACTAAACCATTATTTATTCTTTTTGTTGTATTAAACTTTAGAAAGAATGTAGTCCTGCATATAATATAAACCAAACAGTATATAGGTTCTTAAAATTTGACTAAACATGTGAATAAACTTGAACTGGCACACTTTATTTTAAAAATAATAATATTACTTCTCTTGGTAAGCCACTTTGACTAATTTCGAGTTCTTTAAGCACTAGTTTCTCTAACGCGAAATAATGCTAGGTTACACTGGCGAGAAGAACACAGAACACAGCTCGAACCGAACATACCATGGATTTCATTTTGCACTAGGATTTGCTCCTCAACACTTTGCGATCAAGATGGGCTTGTAGTCTCGACCAACCCGCAGCAGTTAACTGAATAATTTCGCACAGACGCGCCGAGCTTTTATATGGCCGATGCTGCGCCGGGATTGTCTCAGCGATCGGCTGCGCAGTCGCCGCAGATCGAGATCGAGCCCCGAGAGAGCGAGAGCTTTTCTCTCCTCCCCCAGGCCAGTCCAAAGCCTGTCCGTGTGAGCCGTGTGCACAGTTGGCCAAAAGGAAACGCGTCATCGGCGGAGCTTTTCAGGCGCTCTCACACGGACAGTGTCCGTGTCGTTCGTGTGACTCGCTTCCGTGTGCGTGCATGTCGGTGAGCATTTGTGTGAGCCACAATGGCATCGAGCCATTTACTCCACTGCCAGTTGGCGGAACTCGAGTACTTGGGGCACAACTTGGCCAAAAGTAACTCTGAAATAATAATAAATATATATTTTTTTTAAATGTTGCAAAATCGAAAGCAGATTACTCTATAAACTTTGAGTTATTTAACTGTAAAGAAAGAAAATATTAAAACTAAAGGGACCGCACACCAAATTATTTTTATACCTTGTACAAAAATAAAAACTAAGCAACTTCAAACTATATAAATGATATATATTTGTACTTATAGTAAACAAATTCCGATCTATTGTAATCTTATGTGCACAGTGATGAAGTGAATTTAATTATTCTTAGGCAATTCAAATAATTAGTCTACAATTATTCTTTTGAATTGGATGCAATTTAAATTGTATTCTTTATAGAGTAAAGATTATAATAAAAGAATCTGCTTGCAAAAAACTAAATTGAAAATAAAATAAATAAAGGGGGTTATCATTAAAAAAATAACAAATTTCTGCTCTGAAATATTATAAGAAAAATCAGTACAACTTTTATAGATATCTGTTATATTCATATATTTCAACTCAATACTTTTATCAATATTGTATATTTGAAATTAAAAAAATAACAATTATTTTACTCAGAAATATCATAAAAAACGAACCATTAATTTGGAAAGTTGATCAAAACACCGTGGAAAAGTCGTTTCATATCTTAAAAATATGTTTTAATGAAAGAAAAATAACACAAAGAGATAATGGCATTGCATGTCAGCGAATTGCCATTTCATATTCTTCAAAACACGAACATAAAATTAAACATATATAAAATACATTAATAATAAAAAGTATATATAATAAATACCTCTCTTATTTATAGCTATTTCTATAGTATATTGTCTGAAACACAAACATAAAATAAAATAACCGGGAAGACTTTTTTCGCATAAACAAGAAATTACGCCCAATAGCCAAGTTGCACAGTCATGAATATAGAAATTCATACTAGCCACACATTTTTAACTATTTCAGGTTGCAGTTGCAGTTGAATATTCAATGTAAATTTTAGAGTCTGCAGAAAACATGCGCCGCATAGTCTGTTCGATTCTGTGTGGCTTCGTGACTGAACTTTTGATCTATGATTTCGGCTTGGCTCAGTATTCTGCATGCCTGGCTTTTTGCTGTTTGTGTTTGGTTGTGTTTTTATTTTTTGTTTTTGGCCAGGCTAAGCCAGCTCAAGCCTTGATATAGGTGCATTGATTGAATGCTGCGACGGTGTGGGTAGCTTGACATTTTAATGCTGCATAGGAAATACTCGCCAATGGCCATGTAAATGGAACGTGTGAACAATGAGTGGACCGCAAGCGCTCACAAAAGCAGAACAAACACTGGTCGAATCACGTTAGATTTATGTGCATTAAATTAATTGTGAGCATAATGTCCGGCCATAATGGCATATGGGATCACATTAGGCTTTGTAATGTGCAGTTGAAGGCGAAGGTCGCCCGACATCATCACCATCAACGCAACAATCAGCGCCATCACAATCGGCAGCAGAGTTTGAAGATGGTGAAGTTATTTGGTGATGTATATAGAGAGAGGAAATACATATATCACAAGATATATCGATAGGAAATTGAAAAATTATAAGATAACTTAATATATATACATTGAATTTCAATGTTTCGGAATATATATAAATATATTTTTTAAGACCATCAAGTTTAAAAGTTTATTGCTGTTGTTTCGGATGAGTTAATCCAATAATATTGTTAGTTGAAGGATTTTAATTATCTATGAATCTATCTAGTGAATCTATAGAGTTCGCATTTAGTTTCGATAGAGTATTCCAGAGCCATATTTTGTCTGTCTCTGATCCACATCAAAGTTGAACTACATTCATCGGTGGAGATGAGGAGATGAGGAGGAGGAGGTAGGCCTTGCCTTCGCACAGCTTCTTTTGTGGCCAGCTCTTTGAGTAATGTGAGGCTATGGCTCCGCCGCAGAATCGCCGCACTGCAGCCGGGCGGATGATGACTTAAGAGCCTCTATGGAAATATGCAAACCAAACACGAAATCAACGGTAACAAAAGAGCCCAGGCCACCGAGCTCAAGTTCAAGTTTATGCATCCGATTTTGTTGTGTTTGGTTCGCTTTATTTTATGGTTTTTCTAGATCACTTTCATTTTGTTGTTGATTTGCCAACATTTGCATAAACGGACAAAGATGGATCGAAGATCTAAGCTTCGGGAGTTGTTTTTGATTTGAATACCCAGCTCTATTAGTTGGGTGGGGTATTTTGGTTTTATATTTAAAAACATTAACATATTTAGTATAAGACAAGCAGGTTTCTTGTATTTAAAGTGTCCCAAAATATAAATTATTTACATAAGAAATAACTTCATTTATTATTATACTTACAATTAAATAAAGATGCAGTTCTTTTATTGTTATTTTGATACATGGTATCGATAAATGAAATATACTGTAAAGTAAAATACAAACATTTTAAAACTATTATAATATTATAGAGAGAACTATCTCTTCTTGAAATAATAGGTAATTTTTAAGCCGTAAGCCATCTGGTGAGGTTTTCCCATATCTTTGAACTTCGACCCATGTATTTTTTATAATATCAGGCCAAGGCAATGTTCAAGTCAGGAAATAATTTTAACTTGTAGTTCTGTTTTATACAGCTTTATTAAAGATCTTAATTATTATTTCAGGCCAGTAAAAGTTCTTGCATTTAGAAAAATTTCGATTGATTTGAATTAATTGTATATTGAAATTAAACAAACTTGATTGTATGGATTTATTTCTTTCCGTGTACATGTGGATGGTAATAAAAGATGGTTTTTTGCTCAACTTAGATTGTATCCAGTCTTATTTTTATGATAGCTTGGCAAATGTTTTATTGCATTTGGTTCTTAATTTAGATTACCAAACTTTTGAAAGTATATGGCTCCAACAGTGGTCAATCAACAATTTAAAAAATAAAATATAATGCGATATATAAAATTAGATCTAAAAGTAGATCAAAAATCTACATTAAAAGGTTGAAAATAAATTAGAAAGTAAAAGATTTCCATTAAAACAACATACATGTAGTATATGGCAAGAATCGAAATTTAATTATGAATAATTCAGTACCAAAGTAAAGTTATTTCCATTCTGTTGGACGCAATTAAGCTGGCTGGTGCTAGTTAGCTCTTCAAATTCACAGATCTATCAGTCATTTGCATATTATCAGAGTCACTTGGAAAGGTGGCTCTTTCATTAGTTAATTCGTTGTTTGACATTTCGCGTTCACTGGCCGCCTGCTAATTTATTTAATTAATTCAAGAGTGACGTCAAAACTCTTCTTGTTATCAAGAAGAAATTATTTCCGAAGAGCCTGGTTAACTCTAAAACCTAAATACTCTTTTGTGTTTGTATAAATATAGTTTCTGTTCTAAATTAATTTAGAATATAGATTTATAAAATAGGTCTATTGAAACAGATGTTTATTATAATAGACCAATTTAAGGTGTTACATACGAAATTGATTTCAATTGAAGTCTTTATTACATTTTGGTCCTTCGAGTCGGATTTGAACCGATTCATATTCTGGTACCTAAATACACATATATCTAATGCATTTGGGTGTTCTTTTGAAGACTTGTTTTATTTATTTATTATATTATTAGAACCTATTATTTAGAAACTTTTATGTTGGCAGTGTATTTATATTTGACAATATAGTAAACCAGTCTTAAATTTTTATTATTCTATCTCCATTATAGTGGACTCTCCAGTGGAAATTTATGTATTTTAAGGGATTTTGGGTTGGGTTAGCAAGACTTAAATAACCTACCACTAAGCGTATGAGATAGAATTAGTTAGAGAAAAGAGATTTTGTTTGCCGCCGGTTATGCCATAGTACTTTGGTTCTCTGTCAGGCAACTGTGTCATTAAAAATGATTTAAGTGAAGACACCTTTCGTGTTAGCCGGCCATAAATTATACGATAATAAAATAAACAAAAACAAACAAACAAAGCTATTCGAATTTGTCTTGCCGTATTATGGCAAAACTCTATTCTTGTTTGAGATAAAAAAAAGAAAAAAAAAGTGTCGTTGTTTTATTTTGAAAAGATTTAAAACTCTAATATATATAGATGGTAATTAACAATCGAAGCCGTATTTTTTGTGCATTGTAGGGCAAAAGCACTCATGAATTTTATTCAAGCGCTCTCGATTTATTGATCGGTGCTTAATATTTGTCATTTGCCATTTGTTGGCCGCTTTTTTGCGCCTCCATATCGATGAGTCCCCGAGCAATCTCTCATTGCGATTGCTCCAGTTTTGAGATGCCACGCATTTGTCAATCGAATGCCGAACATGTTTCGATGTCTGAGTCGTGCAAATATGCTCCAAACTGATTAATTTTGCTTTGGCTTTTCGCCAATCAAATCTATGGAACAGCTTTTTGTGCTGAAACCAACTAATTGCGGCCTAATGGCATTCGAGTTGATTTCTAAATTGTCTAAAATGGAATCCCAAAAAACTGATAACTTGATTTAATTCCAATAAACTGCATATATATAAATGTGGAGAATGGTTAGCTGTTTCCTTGGGCTAACTCGGAGTGGTTTTATTAGCACAAGGAAGCTAATATCAATCAACTTGATCTTTACTCATCATCAGACATTGGGTTT